AAAAGAAAAAAAGAAAATTAAAAGTACACTGAGACATAACCGGAACAGTAACATAAACCATTAGGCCTGCAGTAGGTGACATAAAATCGAGTAGCTTAACCCCAGTGGATCCTGTCCTCCGTGGATGATCAGTCTCAGTGGATGGCTAAACATGGAGAATTTCCAGAGATTGCTGGGAGCATACCAGCACTAGATATAATAGTTGACAGGTGCTTGAAAGGAAGACTTGCTGTATGTTTCCATTTCTGTGTGGTGCTGTAAGTTTCCAAGTTACAAATCAGTAGTCAAGCAGTGTAGGCAAATTGGAAGATTATCACAAGCAACTAACTTTTGGAAAATTGTACATCTGTATACCTGTTTCAGAAAGCAAACAGCATATTATGTGTTTAAGACCTTCCTGCAGTAAAACTCCAAAAGGTCAGTAATGACTGAATATTTAAACACTATCAACAATGCCCTGAAGTCAGAGACCATGCCGTTGTTGTCTGGTGTGGAAGGAACTCAGTGGCATCCCTGTGTAAAAAGCACTAAACTATGGGCTGGAGCCTGAAGTAGTATATCCCAAAGAATTGCATGCACAGGCCTCCCCAAATACAAGCAGCCTTGAGTGATTTTTTGCAATACCTACTGGGAATTGAACCCAGGGCCTTGTACATGCTAAGCAAGTGCCTTTTGACTGAGCTGTATCCCTAACCTTTTTTATTTTATTTTTGAGAAAGGATCTTACTAAATTGTCCTTGCTGGCCTTTCCTCAGCCTCCTGAGCAGCTGGGATTTCAGGAATGTCATTTAACCTCATGATTCTCCTAGGAAATGATTTTTTTTAATGTAGGTAGAAACGATGACAAAAGAGTTTGAGTAATAGGCTTAAGTAATACCACTAATGATAAAATCAAGTCTTAAACCAGAGCAGTCAAGTACCAAAGCTTGTATCTCTAGCCTTAAGATACATAGCCTCTTAGGTGAAAATATGTATCATGTAAAAATTGCACAACTTTGGGCTGTGGAGATAGTTCAGTGGTCTAAGTGCCTACCTGGGAAATCCAAGGACCTGAGTTCAATCCCCAGTACCTCATGCCATGCCCCTCGGAACCCTGGGCAGAAACCAGGCGTGATGGCACACACTTATAATCTCAGAGCTGGGGAGGCTGAGACAGGAGGATGACTACCAATCTGAACTGTGTAGTGACACCCTGTATTAAATATTTGAAAAGTTACACAACTTCCTTTTAAGATCTACTGTATTGTATATACCTCAAGTGGGTGAACTTTATAGTATATGTAAATCTCTTTAAAGCTGTTGAAATGTAAAAAGGTTAAAACTTGTTAGAGTTACAACTCTATGACACTTTATATTCAAAGTTAATATCTGATTTCTTTAAATAGTAATTACCCTTACTGTGTTTGAGCATAAACTTCAAAATCCTAAATTTTTACTGTTGTCTTTCCATCTTTCTAATATACACAGGAGTTGTTTGGTTGTTTCCTATAAAAGGAAAAGGACCCTTTTCTTCTAGAAAACCCAAGTATAAAGTAAGTTTTAAATGAAGTCTTCAGTGAGGCTTCCAATAGCATGAATCGTTTGGACTGCCCTTTCAGAGCCCGAGCTACTGAAATACTCCTAAAGCAAATTGGCATAGGATATAAAACTTTGCTTTCACTGGAACATCCTGTAATCTGTTCTTTTGAAATTTCTGTATGTTCCATGTGCTGGGAACAAGATGCCTGTCCAAAGATCCTGTTGCCCCATCTCCTATAGAGATAACTCTGGCAAGGAGAATGTAGAAATGCCTAAGCTCAGTATTTGACATACCAGCTTCCTAATGTGCATGTTACCCAGAAGCACCTGGATCCTATTTGCCTATAGTAGATTTTTTTTTTTTTTTTTTTGGTGGTGGAGAGTCTTTGGAGGCATATAATGGTTTTGAGATAGAGTTGTATTGTGTAGTTCAAGCTGGCCTTGAACTGACTGTACATCCCAGGCTGGCCTGAAACTGGAAGTCCTCCTGCCTCAGCTGTCCTGGTGCTGAGATTACAAGTATGAACCACCGTACCCAGCTGCAGTGTTTTTTAAATATAAACACTTTTTTTTGGCAGAACCAGGGATTGAACTCAGGCCCTTGCGCTTGCCAGGCAAGCGCAAATCTCTCCGGCCCCTTATAAATACTTTCTGTGGAGATGCAGAAACAGAGGAAGATAGCATCAGCCTGACCAGTGACTCCTGTTACTTGTTAGCATTCATAGAATTCATCATCACCACATCCTCATGCGAGGCTCATGGTCACCACAGATCTTCCTGATTTAACTTCAATAATTAAAAATATGCATTATGTAATTTAATGTGAATTATTTGCTTAGTTTTAAAAATTCAATTTAGAAGGACATTAATTATCAGAAGGATGTTAACAGCCGTTCAATTTTTCAGGGCTCTTTTCCAGACTCCACGTACCTCTTGGCACAGTGAGAGCTGTTTCCATGTCCCAGGCCCGGCACCCAATGGCAGGTCCTGTATGGAACCTGGGTCGACTCAACCATGTGGCCGTAGCAGTGCCGGACTTGGAGAAGGCCACAGCATTTTATAAAAATGTTCTGGGGGCCCAGGTAAGTGAAGTGGTCCCTCTTCCAGAACACGGAGTCTCTGTTGTTTTTGTCAGCCTGGAAAACACCAAGGTGGAGCTGCTTCATCCGCTGGGGAGCAACAGTCCAATTGCAGGTTTTCTGAAGAAAAACGAGGCTGGAGGAATGCATCACATCTGCATTGAGGTACTTGTGTGATTTTAGTGCTTGGTGCTATCAGTCTCTCCTTTTATTCTATAAGATCATATACACGTGATCACTGTCATCAGAAACTTACAGTAAGTTCTTTAAAGGGAATAATAGTCCTACTCGAAGTGAGTTCAAGGCCAGCCTGCACTACATAATGAGACCCTGTCTCAACCAAATAAATAACTAAATAATAAAAAGATAAAAGTTAAGGTGGAGGAGCTATGAGACATCGGGCCAGAGAACTACACAAGCTCTAGTATTTACCTTTTATTTGAGTCTTAGGAGGCTACTTTGGGCTACAGGTTTCATCAGTAGACCCCTGGAAGTCCCCCAGGAAGAGGCGCAGGACCATCTGCCTTTGAATCCGTTCTCTCCCATGCTGTACTGTCCGGGTTCTACATCAAGAGAGTCCAGGCCTTCAAAGGAGGCAGGCTGTGTGGTTAGAAGTTCAGTCAAGTAGGAGTTCAGTGAAGTAACAGCAAATTCAAAAGCAGAGATCAAAAGAGGGAAATGAAAATACATGAGTATGAAATGAAGGTGGGTCTAGGGGAAGTCTGGGAAGTAGTCGCTACTTCAGTCTGATACCATCTGTCATCTTCCGCAGCCTCCACAAACAGCTAAAAGGGATTCGTTCTTGCTGAAAATTTTGTTAAAGGTGGTTTCTATTTATAGCTCTATATTTTGAAAATTACCAATAAATGCTAATTTTTTTTTAAATGGTACAAGAGCTGGTAACATTGATCAGTGGTGGGTGCAGGACCACAAATGAGAGAGAGAGAGACAGAGAGAGACAGAGAGAGAAGAGACACAGAGAGAGAGAGGAGGGAGGAAAAAAAGAGAAGGAGGAAAGAAGAAAGAGAGCACACAATACCAAAAAAGTGATTTTTATGTCCCTGTTTTCAGTCTAAAAGTGAGTGAATCCTGCTGAGGGGGCACTTCTGCCCCTTTGCAGTTTGTGGAGTTATCCCAGACCTTCCTATTTGCCAGCAGAGAGAACACAAAGCAAACACTGTTAAGATGATTCTAGACACTGTGTGCATCACTTCCGTTCACCTCCCACTAGCCTTGTAGTCACATGGCACACAGGGCTACAAGGAGGGTGGGGAATGTGGTCTACGGCTAGGCAGCTGTGTGCCCTGCTAAAACCTTGGGATCCCTGTAGCTCACAGGAACAGTGGGAGACACACCTCATGCATACTGCCTGAGTGTGCACCACTGTTCTGTGCCCGCATCTCTGTTTGTTTGATTTTTGAGACAGTTTCAATAAGTTGCCTAGACTAAGGTTTTTTTTAACTTTTATTTTTTAATTTTTTAAAATTTATTTTATTTTCGTGTTGATACAAGGTCTCGCTACATAGTGAGCCTCATTTCTCAGCCTCCTTGGCACTGAGATCATAGGCGTGTGCCACCACACCTGGTTTCCGTTCCAGGGATCCAACTGAGGCCCTCGCCCTGCCAGGCAGGTGCTTGGATGGCTGTGCTATCTCCCCAGCCCGACATCTCGCGGTCTACCAGTTAGCTGCAGCTATAGGCATGGGCCACCGTACTTAGCGTTGGTAATCTAAGGCAGTTGTGCTAGTGTTGCCAGAATAGCGTGGCAGTCTTTTTGATTGGAAAGATGCTATAAGGGGGTAATCCTTGAGAATTATCATCCTTTCTCCTCTGTGGTAGCAGTTTTCGAGACAGTGGTGTCACAAGATAGAGGAGGCTTATTTCCCCGATCCTACCAGTAGAGAAGAATTTCTTGCCTTTCCTTGAACAGAAAATACATATTTGTTGAAGAGTCCTGTTGAAATCCTAAGCTTCATAGGTTCTGAGTATGACCTTACTATCTGTTCTGGCTAATACAGCTTGGGTCTGGAATTGTCTTCCAAAGTTCAGAAAGTGACAGAGCCAGTCGGAAAGTACCTCTCGAGGGCCTGGGGATATAGCTCAGTGGCGTAAGTGCCTGCCTGGCAAGTGCAAGGCCCCGAGTTCAGTACCTGGTACTGCAAAAAAGAAAGCAAAACAAAGTGCCTGTCTCATCTTTGCTCTGCTTACTGTTGCCGTGTAATAGATTGGTGTTGATCATCAAAGCATTCTGTTTGTTCAGGATTTTCTGGATCAGGAAGTTCAGGAGGGCTGTTGCTTGGCATCTCATATGGGGACAGGTATCAGTGGTGATGGCCACCTGGCCTGGGTATCCTAAGTACTTACTCACATGACTGGCAGTCTGTGCTGACTCACAGCTGGACCCAATCTGGGCGTACACAGGCACCCTGTTCACCTCCACACGCTAAGGCTGGCGGGTTGCTGGGCTCCTCGCTGGGCAGCTGGCTTTACCAGAGTGATTGTCCCAGCAAAACCAAGCAGGGTGACACAGCGTCTTCTGCTCTCGGCTCAGGGTCCTGAAGTGACGCTTCTACCTTTGTCGTCCGTCATGGCTAGCTCAAGGCCGCCCAACGTGAGGCAGGGTCCCCACAGCCTGCCTACTGCAGGGATGAGCAGCAGGGATCTGCGGCCTTTTACGGGGCGGCAGCCATCAATGCACTAACGTGCGCTGAGCAGATAGGAAGTGGGCGAGGATTCGCAAAGCTCTAGACCCACTTGGTGTTCAAACTGCCAAAGATGGGACCCCGAATAATTAACCACATAAGGACAACCCCGCTGGCCTCCGTAACTCTAAGGAGACTTGCAGTGATTGGTGGCTGATGAGCAGCAGCACACGCACGAAAGGTTTCTTCAGCTTTTTCTCATGTTTTGGACATTGACAGCATTGAGAAGTCTATCTTCTCAAAGTGCTCACAATTCTTCTGTAGCTTTAGGGTTTATTGCCATTTATCTCTTAATGCCATCCGTTTTATAGTATTATAAAAAATAACATCACAAGGTTCTTTCTCACAGGACTGCATGTAAAGCTTTTGATTTTGCAATATGTCTGTCATGGGCGTGCTCCAAGGCTTCCAAACGACTCAACAGAAACTTTTGACAAATACCCCTTTTCTCATACATACTTCAATTCCATTAATTCTTGACTTTTTCTCTTCAGTTTTGATGCTTTTCACTTTCTCCTATGAGGTTTGGGTGTCTTATACTTGTGTTTTTGCCTTGCGCTGGGTGAAGTATAAACTTTACTGGGTCATTGGGTTTAGTTTTTCTTCTCTTGATGATTATTATTGTTTATATCTAGATAGTGTCCCTGAGCTGGGCGCAGTGGCGTACACCTGTGATTCTAGCACTCAGGAGGCTGAGACAGGAGGATCGCTGTGAGTTTGTGGCAGCCTAAGTGACATAGTGAGTTCAAGGCCAGCCTGGACTACAGAGCAAGACCTTGTCTCAAAAAACTAAAAAAGAAAAAGTAGATGTCCTCCAAAAGCCTCATGTGCTCCCTGGGGGGCTCTGCGGCAGTGATTCGGCCAGGTATCTGATACTCACGGGTGGATTAGTCTACTGATGGGTTTACAGCTGATGTGGTACTGGGCGTGGAGCCTCAGAAGAGCTTGGTCCTTGGGGCCAGGCCTGGGAGGGTGTCTCCCTCCACCCTCCCTCATCCCTCCCTCTTTCCTATCTGCCTCACCACAAACTGTTTCTCCTCTGTGATGGTCCTCTGCTGTGCCACCTGCCTTAGATTGGAACCTCTGCTAACTGAGCCCAAATGTGCCCTCCTCCTTCTGCTGTGGGTGTCCGCTTCTGCTGTTGGTTAGCATCAGCTAGCAGAGTACCTCTCCATGAAACCTTAAGGGCCACTTAAGAGATATTTATGTATTAAACACCTTTGTAGCGAGGTTGCAGCAACACTTAAATGTGTCCACACTGGTCCATTACAGCTGTTACTCCTGAGTGATGTCCCCTTTTGAGAAGCAGCCTTCCCTGGGACCCTCAGCCACACCACCACCACCCCACTAGGCTTAGCAGGTTCTCTTAGACTGTACTCCAAGTAAAGCCCCTTCTACTTCACCTTTGCATTTTTCTGGTTGTTAAATATTTTTAGAATTGCCCACATTCACTGTAGCAAGTGCTAGGAGTGACTGGGTGAACACAGTACAAAGGCCCTGTCCTGCTGGGCTTGCTCACCGGCCTGGCTTGTCTACACATGCTCTGAATTTTCCATAGAGGATCAGTGAGATGGTAAAGCACAGCCTGTAAGACATAAACGGGTAAGCGTAAGTCACTGTGAAAGAGCAGAGCTCATTGTACCTGCCAGTTCTGCCAAGTACTGCGTTCTAGGTGCCAAAGCAAAAAAAAAGTGGTATGAAAGCAGTTGTGGCCCCCTCTCTGCCCAAAGACTTTAGGGGAAAGCGAAGTAGCTGACCGTAATGGCAGAGAGGCAGCACACACCCTTGGGGCCTAGAGCGCGAGAAGGCCATCAGTGGGCAAGAGCTTCCTGCTGCAGGAGAGCCAGAGGCCAGGTCAGATGCCACATGTGGAGAGGCCCAGCGAAGGTGCCAGAATCTGATCAGGGAGGACAGGGGCATGTGCCACAGGGGGCAGCCGGGCCTGGGGTGTCAGCGTAATGAGGCATCAGCCCAGAGCCTCTGGCCCCCAATTCCCACTGGACTCCTTTAGGAAGTGACTAGGCTAAGGGGGTGGAGTTGGTACCCATATAAAAGACCCCCGAGCCAGCCAACCCTTTCCCCTATGGGATGCAGGAGGCACTGTCTGTGAGAAACTAGCTGCCAGTAGCTGCCATATTTGCCATGTTGGATCTTAGATGTCCCAGCCCCGGAAATGTGATGCATAGACAGATGTCTTTTGATTCAGGCCAGCCCTACCCAAACAGACTAAGATGTGGCTCAGTGCCCGAGGTGAAGCCTGCACAGTCTGAGGGCAAGAGGATGAAGCCAAGGCAGTGTGCAGTGGAAGAACCTTAGCGGGAAGGAGGCATCACACTCCACTCGGTCTGTGGTCCTGTGAGGAGGGCATCAGTGTGGGGGGGATGATGACTGAAGTGGGGAGTGGAAGCCCAAGTGCTCCCTGGGGCGCCAACTGTGGGGGCCAGCATTTGAGCCAGCCAGCAC